CAGTTGCTGCCCGTGATGGTGAGTGTGTGGAGGCGAGAGAGGAGGCAGAAGGAGGGAGGCAGGCTGGCAAGGACTGTTGACTTCAGAGATGCTTCTTGCAGGGAGGTCAGGCCGCCGAGGGTGTCTGGCAGAGAGGAAAACGAACCCTCGATAGTCACCCGCGTTAGTGCCCCAAGGGATCCTAACCCTTGTGGTAAATGCTCCAAGTGATTGCACCTTTCAGGCTGCGGCTCTTCTCCTCTAGCCATCCTGGCTAACATGCTCATGTATGGCGAAGCTTCCTTATCCGAGACACGCCTTTTCAGCTCCAGCGACTGCAGCGCTGCCAGCTCGCCAATGTTGTCGGGAAGCAAGAGCTCAGAGTGTGCAAGGTGGGCGCTCTTCGTGATGTGTAACTTGCGGAGTGAGAGCAGGCGGGTGAGGTGAGCAAGGGGAGAGGGGATGAAAACGTCTGTGAGGTGGAGCTCGGTGAGGGCGGTGACGTGGGAGATGAACGAGGGCAGTGCGAGGCGCGGAGTGGGGCGCTTGCCTTCCTGCTGTCGCTGTCGCTGCCGCTGCTGCTGCTGCTGTTCATCTCCCACCTCACCTCCCTCACTAGGGCAGTGTGAGGCGCCACTGTCGCTGCCGCCACCGCTGCCGCTGCCACTGCCGGTACTGTTGTTGGTGCCTCTGCTTGTGCTGGCGGTGGAGGAAGAGTCGTACTCCAGCGATAAGGACTGGAGGGATGGGGCGAGGAGAGAGAGGGAGTCTGGGAGGCGGAGGAAGCAGCCGGAGAGGGAGAGAGAGCGGAGGTTGGTGAGGCGGCCAAAGGCAGCCAGCACGAGACTTCTAGGCTTGAGATCGGTGATGGAGAGGTGCGTGAGCGAGCAGAGGGACCAGAGGTGGGCAGATAGGTAGCTGCCTTGTGGGCACTTTTCACCTAAGCTCAATTCTAGGTGCTGCAACGAGGGGCCGAGAGGCGAGCACCCGGATTGAGCGGCGGCAGTGGCGGCGGCGGTGGCGGCTGCAGCGGCAGCAGCAGCAGCAGTGGCAGAAGCAGCAGCAGCCCTAGCAGCGGCAGCAGCAAGAGCAGCAGCAGCAGGAGGAGCGGCAGCTGCAGCGGCGGCGGCGGCCGAGGCATCGGCAGCGGCGGCGGTTGCCGAAGCGAGGGCTAGAGGCACATAGGCCAGCAGAGGCCCTTTGGGCGCGTCGCCTTGCTCCACCCACGCCACCCTGTCCACACTCACGTGCGCCAGCGACGGCAACGCGAACAAGCCCACTGGAAATTCCTCCTTCCCAGTAATGATGGGCCGGAAAAGGGCTTTAACCGAGACCTTGAGTCGTTGGAGGGAGGTGAGTCGACTGAGAGGGTGGAGCGGTAAATTGTCGAACGCCAGGACTTCCTCAAGAGTCAAGTGACGCAACGGTGAGGTTCGAACGACGTCATCTAAGGGGAGAGACTTGAAATTGTCGCAGGAGCGAACAGTGAGGCGCTTTAGGGTTTCCAGCCACGCAGGCGGGAAAGAGCGCACGCTGCATTGCTCCAGCGAAAGCTCCTCCAGCCTCGTCAACGCTTCGCACCCGTCTGGCCAGTCGAGGCTGTCGTAGCGTCGCAGCTGCAGGCGCCGCAGCTGCTGCAGCGCGGTGATGCTATCCGGGAGTCGCCCGCACGGGAAGGCTATGCAGAGCGAGGTGAGCGACGAGAGGTCGCCCAGAGAATCGGGCAGGCTGTGCGCGCCGTTCATGCTGTCGACGATGGAGAGGTGCGTCAAAGCTTTCAGCTGCCCGAAGCCCTCGGGCACATCCCACAGCATCGAGCAGCTGAACTGCAGTTCCTGGAGCGCAGGCAGATGGTACAGTCCGTCCGGGAGCTGTTGAATTTTGTTGAAGCGGAGGCGAAGCACGCGCAGCGACGACAGCAACGAAATGGAATCGAGAAGCTTCCTGGCCTCGTAAGGAAGCAGCAGCGCGAGCTCCTGTAACTGCGGCGCTGCGGCGCGGAAGAATGAGTTGAGCGATGCGAAGCTGATGGTGAAGGGCGGCGGTGCGGCGGTGAAACGAGGATCGCCGAGGCTCAAGCAGGTGAGCTTGGGACAGGCGGCGAGCAGCGAGATAAGAAAGTCGTGGTCGTAGAAATCAACGGCGCCGTCGCCCAGCGTGAGGGAAGTCACGCTCGGCGCGCGGGATAGCATGCGGAAGAGCGCGGGCGCGGAGAGCGTGGGGACGGGAAGCGGCGAGTCGTCGTGACAGTAATAGTCCTCCCGACGGTGGAGAGTCGGTAGGAGCGCTGATGCGCACGACGGGCAGCAGCGACGCCCATCGCTTCGACACCATTCCCAAGCCATGGCACGGGCTGACATCGGACTCGACGATGGGCTCCGCGCCGCTCGCGGCAGCGGCGACTTGAGAGTCCTTGTCGGTGGTTGCTGCGAGGAAGAGTATCCTAGCTAGAATCTCGTCAGGCAGACTGTTCATTGTCGCTGATGATTCCCGCTTACTGCTGCTGGCCGATGGACCTGGATGCTTATAAAGCGGATGCTCGTTACGCAGGTGCTCGTCACCCCGTTCCTCCACCCAGTTCCTCGAGGACTTGGGTGGACCTGTACGCTCCATCCTTGCTGTCTGGTCTGTAAACCCGTGGGTGATGCCTAAGCTTGTGGATCTCGTATGCTTAGGGTTTCCGCCAGATCTCCTAACCTGTATTGCCGAAACGGTGTCATTCGTGGTGTATAGCTCATTTGTGCCTAGGGTTTGACGCTTCTGGGGTAGCTGTTCATGGTTGAGTTCGAATTTCTTGTTTTCGGTAACACGATGTTACGGCGTAATGGGAGTCGTGCACGTAGTTTTGGTTGCGGTTTTTCAACAGCGAACACCGTCACTTTGCCTAAGTGTGGGCACCACCTGAACAAACTCGACCTCCCCAAATTCGCTGATTCGGGATTCTGAACAGTCCCTCAGCCCCGCTGCTTCTAATCCGCTCTGGTGTAATCCAGCAGGCTAACACAAGCAGGGTATGTGATAGTGGGGGATGAATTTTCTTTTCGCACCGCCTCGATGATTTTGGCATGGAACATTCAAACTGGCCACGAATCTGCGACTATCTTGAAAGAAGCACCTGGTACCGGCGTGAAGGTTGCGTGAAACGTAGCCATTGCGATGTAAGACTCGACAAGGCGAGAAGCGTGATGGCGGACCCATGTCGTCCTCACAACAATTTCGCATGCCACCCAGTTCACTCTCGTTGTTGCAATCACCATGATGTCTGAACGCACCAAATTCATCATGATGAGTCTGAGCGCCCTTTCTGCGGATCATCTGTGACAGGCATCGACTAGGATACGACGGCCGTCGCCCTGCCCCACCAGAATGGCGGCCTGAAAATGTGAAATAATTCTCTTCGCTCCGATGTCTCTCCCACTAGGCATGTCCTCCTTCGTCGTCACCTATCCGCGCCCTAGATCTGGCAGTAGGTCGCTAACGACGCGGCGCTATTCTCCCATGCGCAATGCCATCAGGTGTCGACTCTCCTCCAAGGACTCCTCGCGCGTGAGAGAAGCTGTAGGAGGAAGGCATCGTCGGCACAGTGGTGGGGAATTTGTATTGCTCGACCCCTCCCTGTCCGCCCTCGCATCCCATATCCGTCTATGCGCCCTTCCATTCCTGGCACTACATTGTTGAGGAGGTGAAAGGAGTCCGAGCACTGCTTTCCACACGCAATACCACCAGCTCACATCCGTCCACCTCCCCCATCCTGCTCTGAAATACGGCCCTCATGCGTGCGCTCTCCCCACCAACTGACAACTCTCCCCAACAGTCTGTGAGGGGGACGGGTGGGACACTGGGACCATGCCTTCGGGATGGCAGAGGCGGGCGCAAATGGTTAACCTGCCGCAACGACCCCTTCCCATCGCTCTCTCGCACCACGGCAGCTGCTGGCGGCGATGTTGGTGTTTTTACTGCTGGTGTTGCTTGTGGTGACGGTAGTGGTGGCGCTGCTGCTGCTGGTGCTGCAAATGTCGCGTTGGGCGAGGAGGGGGGACGAAAAGGGGGGGGCGCTCGCAGTGGTAGTTTTTCGCCTGCCGCCGTCGCACAGGTTCACCCACAGCAGCCAACCCCACAAAGGCAGACGATGCGGCAAATTTAGGGGCAGGTGTAGGGAGTGGGAAGAGACGCAGGCAGAAGCTGCGCAGGTCAGCGCGAGAGATTGAGCGGATGCGAAGGGCGCAGGAGGAGCAGGATGCGGCGATGAGAGTTGAGGGCGGTGACACGTTGGGGCCAAGGGAAGGCGATGGCACGGTGGTCGGGGGGCAGGGCGGAAGTGCGCAGTGGCACGCGCAGAGCTCTCAGCGCCATGCCGCTGCAGCGCTGTGGGGGGAGTGGGTCACTCGATGGCGCCGCTGCTCGTAGTGCTGGGGAAGGAGCCAACGCAGACGCGTGCTGGCGCGGACAGGCTATCGTTTGCGCGGAACTTGAGGCGCGCCACTGGCGGCTGTGCCAATAGCAGAGTGCGTGCGGTGACGCCGGCGGAGTGGCAGGGGCGGGGAGGAGGGAAGGGCGCGGGATGAGTTTGCCAGGGTTCGGGTGGGGAGCAGGGTGGCGAGGGTGGAGTAGTGAGACAGGCAGGCTGCGCTGGGCAGTCGACAGGGTGCGTGCTGTTGGGGGCCGGGGCCGATGCAGCCTGGGGTGGAGCAAAGGGTGCAGCAGCGGCACGGAAGGGGAGAGTGTGAGTGTTTGCAGGGTGTGTTAGCGGGAGTGGCCGACGGAGAGGCATGAGCGGAAGCGGCGCAGTGACTGTTAGGGGAGGCGGCGCCTGAGCCCTTGTCCCTGTCCCCGTCCAATCCCCCCCGCGTGTCTCACTCCGTCAGCGCAAGCCACGGTATGTCGTCGCTCCTCTCCTCCCCCCCGCCCCCCCGCCTACCACCCCGGCTTCGTATCCGCCAGCCACGCCATACCCATACGGCCGCCCTCGCCCCCGGACCACGCCACTCCCCCCATCCATCTCCGCTCCCCCGGGTGCCCCCATGGCCACTCCATGGCACGCCGTCTGCGCCCGCCCCCCCACCGTGCCATTCCCTCCCCTGTCCACGCTTCCTCTCCACACACAGCGCGTTGCAGGGCCAGACAGTGGCAGCAACAGTGGCAGGTGTGGTAAAGAGAATATGCCTGTCAATACCGCAGCAGCCGCGGCAGGTTCTTGTGGAGGCAAGCTTACTACTCTCCCGCCACCGCCCCTCCTTCTCTTTCCCCTTCCCTGCCGCCCCTCACCTCCCCCTTCCCCCCCCCCTTTTCCTCCCCAGATTCCCCAGGTCTCTCCCGCGTGCTCTCCGCCGTCGCTGCGCCAGTCCCTCCTCGCGGTGCCTCCCCCGCTGGCAGAGCAGCGCCTCAAGGCCGGGCTTTAGGAGCGCCCCAAGGGCAGGCTGTTCAGGCGCGCCCCGCGAGCTCAGGCACGGCAGCACGGAGGGCTGCGCCGTTCTCAGCGCCGTCACTGTAGCCTCCTTCACCCGCTGCTCATCCTGCGGCAACTTGCCCTAGCGAGGGGGAGGGCGAGAGGGCACGGGAGGAGGCAGCGGCACCGTTGTTGTGGCTGATGGCCGAGCTGGCAGTGCAGGGCGTGGACTGCGGAGAGGAGAGTGAGGTGGGGGAGGGGGAGGATGACGGGGAGGGGGAAGGGGAGAGCGCAAGGGAGAAGGGTGGGGGGGGGTCGGGGCGTGAGAGTGAGTGGGCTGGAGAGGCACGTGGTGAGCCGGCGGTCACCGACCAGAGAGCAGTGGGGGGCGAGGTGAATTCCTGCTGCTGCTGCTTCCGCCGCCGCTGCCTTAGCTGCTGCATCTGCTCCTGCTGCTTGTGTAGCCTTCTGCTGCGCCGTGCCTTTCCTTTGCAGTCTCAGCCGCCCCACGCGCCACACCCTCGCTCCTCAGCCCTGTCTGCACATCCAATCCCTTCTCCTCGCCCCCACTACCTTCATCTCACCTTCCTTCTTCTCCCTCCGCCGTTCCTTGCCCTTCCTACCCGCTTCCAATTCCTCACAGTTTCCCCGTGTCCCTCCTCCCCACCATCCCTCCGCTTCAGCGTCATCCCAGCCGTTTATCGCGCTCCTCGCCGTGCCACTCCATGCCGCCGGCCGCCCAAGTGAGCACCCACCCGCAGCACCCGTGCATGCAGGCGCGCCGCAGTGAGCGTGGGTAGACTGGTGGCGGGCGCAGTGGAGCAGCAGGGCCTGCATTTTCCCTAGCTCCTGCAGCATTGCAGCACCGCCAGTGCCCACAACGGCGGCGACGATGGCATGGTGGGCAGGGCAACAACGTGGATTGCTCTCACAGCGTCGGTGTGGTGAACGGGAAGCGCAGCCGTGACAGCAGCAGCAGCGGCGCAGTGCTGTAGAGACAGACATGGCGTGGCACTCAAACAATAGGGCAGCTTCTGTAGGGCAGAATGCGGCAGGGCGGGATGGAGGCTTTCAGGAAGTGGAGTTTTTGACACAATCCGACACCATTTTCCCAAATGGCTTTCCATCCCCCTTTTCCCCGTAACCCCTGCTTCCTCCACGCTCTCATCTCAACTCTCTTCTCCTATTTTAATTGAACTCAGCAGACCGCTTAGTGATTTTGAGTCTTCATGTAATCCTTACTAGTAAGAATCGGACTTACCCACACCGGCCCAGGTCGAACGGGGATGGACAAGACCCCGAACGGGCTGAACCCAGACCCCGCGACCCGAACCTTTGGGCTGGCTGGACTGCCCGACCCTTATTCACTATTGTTCGACTTGAAAGGAAGGAATGGAAGCTAAAGTGTTAGAGAAGTTGCTAGAGCAGGAGGTTAGCGGGCAAAACTAGCAAGCCCATCTTGGACCTCTGCGACCTTTCTCTTCTGGCTCCCAAGCTGGAGCCGCAACGCACGGATGAAGTCGTGTGGGTCCCCGCTAGAGTTTTGCGGCAACCTGATGGCGATGACCCTCATCGGGTCGCGCTGCAGGTTCGTTCCAGGTTAGGGTCCTGGACGACCATGCCATTCAATCCCCCACCTTCATCCTTTTTCTTCCCCCACCTTTTCTTTCCCCCATCTTCCCTTTCCTCCCCGTCTACCCCCCCTCCTTCCCTCCCCTCCCATCGTCTTTCCTGTCCATCCCATCTCAAATCCTTCCTACCTCTCCCTCCCTGTCATCCTCCTTTTCTCCCTCGTCCCTCCCTTCCCATCTCCAGGTTCCCCACTCACCTCATTCAGCTCCTCTAACGTCCGCGCACATCCTCCCATCCTCTCCCCGTGCCTTCCAGCTGTCAGCAGCTCATTTGTACAACTCCATTGTGCCGTGCCGTCACTTCACTCCACGGCACCCTCGTTCATCTGTCTACCCTTTTTTTACATTCGCCCTATGCATAAACCAATTGTCCCTTTCCATCTCAGGTCCTCCTCACACCATCATCCTCCCGTCTGCATCCCTACAATCCCAGCCAAACAGCATAACTGTAGCCACAGTCCCTCCCTTGGTTGGTTCTTAAATTCGTATCCATTCTCAGCATCCACTGCCACCCCATTCATCCCGTTGTGTTATTCTCTGCACCCTATCATGTCATGCCCCTCGATACATAACCCCGTATGCATGAACCAAGTGTCCCTTTCGCCCCCCCCCCCCCCCATCCTCCTCCTCTACCCGCCATTATTAACTCCCACATCCTCCTCCTCCTCTACCCACCATCCAGCCCTGCAGCAGCATTATGACAGCTATGCAAGCGCACCCCTTCCCATTCCTCCTCCCATTCCTCCTCCCATACCTCATCCCATACCTCATCCCATACCGCATCCCATACCGCATCCCATACAGCGTCCTTTACTTTATCCCATACCTAATTCATGCCTCATCCCATACCTCATCTCATGCCTGATCCTACACCTTATACGGATCTTGATTTTCAAGTGTGCACCAGCATTCATCACAGGTTCTCTTTACCCGTTCTGACACAGGCTTGCTTTTTCCTGCTTCACCTTTGCCATATATGCCATGTCACATACCCATCCAACAAACCGACCCCTCCAAATGTGCAGCTGCCACTCATATACACCACCTCGGATCCATGAATCGTGATTTGCAGCATGTAAACAGAACAAATGTGTTTATTCTGTTGCATTGAGATGATAATGTTTGTGGATTATATTGAAGCAGCAGCATCAAATAAACATGGTTACACATGCATATCTTATTCTTTGTTTTATGTTTTGGCACAAATGCATTAAACATTACCGGTATGTCTCAGGTTCTGCTGCTTTCATGAGTACAGAGAAATTGCACAGCCTGCAGCACTAAAATACAAGCATGCATTCCATGCAGCTTTCCACTGGTATCTTGCCCTACACATTCAACTGTCCAACTGCAAGGCACGGGTTTCGAAGATTGCTTTCCAAGTCCAAACACTCTGCAAGTTCAGCACAACCACCACTCTGCCTCATCCCTCCGCATTCTTCACACCCCTTGACTCCATCCCTCTTCCCAGTCTCCCTCTGTATAGTCACAGCCATCTCTTCCCTCACCTGACCTCCCTTCCCATCATCACTCACTGCCAGTGGCAGTCTGCCACACCACCTGCCTATCCACCGGCCCACCTCATTGGGCATAAGTGCCCTCGTGGCAGCGAAAGACTTGTCAGCTTGCTCAGGGCAGACAGCTGCCGCAGCCCATCATCCGTGACTGCGGTGCCATGCAGAGAAAAGGAATCAGGCCCTGTCAGCCTCCGCACATGCACCATGCTGTCAAACATTGTATATGTTTGTGTTATCTGTAGGCTGTAGTGGGTTTAGCCTTAGGGGGTACAATCTCTAGGGTTTCATACTTGTACTCCCAACTTTCCTAATTCAACCACTTCACTCATTCTGACATGGTATTACGAGCCTAGGGTTAGGAACCTAGGACCGTTCTTAGGGCCCACCGTTTCCGCTCGAAGCGCCCTCGTGCGCCGTCCTTTCCTAGCGCCCTCGTGCGCCTCGTTCCTAGTGCGCCCTCGAGTGCCTCCTCTTCTCTTGAGCTGCCCGTGCGCAGTCGCTAGCAGCCCGCGCGCGCGGCCCATTTTCACGTCGCGTAGCCCACTAGCCGCCCGTGCGCGGCCCGTTTCTTGAGCGCGCGGCCCGCTAGCCGCACGCGCCGTAGTCGCCGCCCACGCGCAGCCCGCTCTGGCCTCGCGCGGCTCTTAGCGCGGCCCGCTAGCCGCCCGTCGACCGCCGCCGCGTCCCCTTAGGCCGCCGCCCGCTCGATCGCAGCCACCCGCACGAACGCAGCCGCGGCCCGCGCACAGCCGCACCCCAGGCGCAGCCGCGCACCGTACATAGGCCCGCCGTCGCGCCGCCCTGCCTGCCCGAGTCGCGCCGCCCGAGTCGCGCCGCCCTGACCGAGCCGCGCCGCCCCACCTGTAGCAACTGCTGTTCCTGTTCCTGCTACAGCTACTACTGCTACTGCTACTGCTGCTACTGCTACTGCTGCTACTGCTACTGCTGCTCCTGCCACTATGGCCAGTCCTACTGTTCTCACCTTTGACTCTGAGGGCCGACCGATTAAGTTTGAAGTTTGGCTCGATGACCTGCACCTATTCCTCCATATCACTGCCAAGGACGATGTTTCTCTGTTTGACCACACGTCCGGCGTAGCTCTCGCACCTGCTGCTACCGCTGACAGTACAGCTCGCTCACAGTGGCAGACCCGTGACGCGCACGCTCGCCTAGCCGTTCGCAGCCACCTGCCGTTAGATGAGCGCGAGCACTTTGGCCAGCATAAGACCGCCAAGGAACTGTACGATGCTGTCATTGCGCGCTACTCCTCCCCTGCTACTGCTGCGATAGGCCGTCTGTCGCTGCCCTATCTCTTCCCGGATCTGTCCGCCTTTGCCACTGTAGCTGACCTTATCACTCACCTTCGTACTAGTGATCTCCGCTACCGTGCCGCACTGCCTCCTGATTTCCTCGCCAAGAACCCTCCCCCGATGTACCTCACACTCTACCACCTAGTCACTCGCCTCCCTGACTCTCTTCGTGCTGTCAGGGACCACTTTCTCGCCCTCTCTCCCACTGACCTCACTGTCGACCTGCTCGAGAAGGAGCTCCTTGCAGCTGAGAAGAGTATTGTAGCTGTAGGTGCCTCTCGTGGCGACCCTCGCACTCCCTTCTTTGAGGGGTGTTCCCCCGTCCCCCTTCTCGCCTCCATTGCATCTGCTGCTGCTGTCGACTACCTCGGTGCTGAGGAGGTCGGGGCTGCGTCTGCTCCTAGTTGGAGGCGCAAGGGCGGCAAGGGCAAAGGGGGCAAGGGTGGCGGAGGTGGAGGCGGGGGCGGCGGTAGTGGAGGGGGTGGAGGAGGCGGGGGTGGTGGCGGTGGTGGGAGTGGCGCTGGTGGTGGGGGGGTCAGTGGCGGAGGCGGGGGTGGTGGCGGCGGCGGTAGTGGGGGTGGCGGGGGTGGCGGTGGTAGTGGTGGCGGCAGTGGAGCTGGTGGCGGGCGCGGTGGAGCGGTGCAACGTGGAGGGTTCAGTGGTGGCCAGAGGCAGCAGCAGCAGCATCCCAGCGAGGCCCCGTCCTCCCAGCAGCTCCGTGAGTGGTACTCTCAGCGTGGGGGGTCTGGGGGTGGAGGTACCTGCCCGTACCTTATCCGCACAGGTGACCGCACTGGCCAGACCTGTGGGAGGTTCCACACGGCGCACCGCTGCTTCTTTCGTCTCGACGACGCCTGGCGTGCACAGTTTCCTGACGCCACTGAGCTGCCCCGCTGGGCTGATCTGATGAAAAAGAATATTGATGTCTTTGCTCTTGACTTTGATGCTATCCTTGGTGCCATGTATGCACTGAGTGTTAGTGGAGAGGGTGACTGTTACCTGCGTGTCCCGCCCGACCCGGGCATTAGGACCAGTGAGTCTGCTGCACTAGGTGCTCTTGTATCTGTTGCCCCAGGTGCTGGTGAGGCTGCCGCTCTAGGTGCTACTGTGTCTGTTGCCCCAGGTGCTAGTGAGGCTGCTGCTCTAGGTACTAGTGAGTCTGCTGCTCCAGGTACTCGTGCGTCTGCGCCTGCTGGTACTGCGTCTACTGAGGCACTGCACACCTTCACGCTGGACTCGGGTGCTTCCCGCTGTTTCTTCCGTGACCGCACTGCCCTTGAGCAGCTTGCTCAGCCAGTTGCAGTCTCCCTCGCTGACCCCTCTGGGGTTCCGGTCATTGCGACCTCCTCCATTGTCCTCCCTTGTCCTGCGGTCCCGTCGGGCACACTGTCAGGTCTCTACCTCCCCTCGTTCTCTACGAACTTGGTGGCGGGTAGAGCGCTCCAGGACGGGGGTGTTCACCAGTTCACCCCTGCCTACGAGCGTGTGACACACTGCATGTGTGCTCGGACGGGTCGCCACCTGGCTACCTTCACTCGGCAGCCGGGGTCGGACCTGTACACACTGACCACTGAGTCCCCTCAGGTAGCTGCGTCTGCGTCTGCGTCAGGTGAGCTGTCGGCCCCCTGCTCGTGTCGCTCCTTGGCGCACGAGACCGTCCTCTGGCACCACCGTCTTGGTCACCCGTCAGTGCAGCGCCTTCGTGGCATGCACAAGCGGTACCTTGTCTCTGGTCTTCCCAGGGTTCTCCCTCCCCTCCCACCCTCGCCTGCTCCTCCCTGTCTTCCCTGTGTCGAGGGGCGGCAGCGCGCCGCTCCTCACTCCTCCTCGTTTCCCCCGACGACTGCTCCCCTGCAGACGCTTCACATGGACGTGTGGGGCCCAGCCCGCGTCCGTGGACAGGGTCACGAGAAGTACTTCTTGATAGTTGTTGACGACTACTCATGCTACACCACGGTCTTCCCCTTGCGCACCAAGGGTGAAGTCCCTGATGTCTTGATCCCTTGGATCCGTGCTGCCCGTCTCCAGCTCAGCGAGAGGTTCCACTCGCACTTTCCTGTCCTGCGTCTGCACTCTGACAGAGGTGGGGAGTTTTCCTCCGACCTCTTGAGGGCCTTCTGTCAGGGGGAGGGCATTGAGCAGTCGTTCACGCTTCCGGCCTCTCCACAGCAGAATGGGGTTGCTGAGCGCCACATTGGTTTGGTCATGGAGGTCGCTCGTACCCCCTTGATCCATGCGGCTGCCCCCCACTTTCTGTGGCCGTTTGCGGTCCAATACGCTGCGCATCAGCTCAACCTCTGGCCCCGTGTCTCCGTTCCGGAGACTTCGCCGACCCTGCGTTGGACGGGAGAGGTTGGCAATGCGTCGCGTTTCCGGGTCTGGGGATCTCGAGCTTTTGTTCGCGATACGTCCGCGGACAAGCTCTCCTCTCGCGCTGTTCCTTGTGTCTTCCTTGGCTTTGTCCCGGACGCGTCTGGTTGGCAGTTTTACCACGCCACCTCGCGCCGTGTCCTGCCCTCTCAGGACGTCACTTTCGACGAGTCGGTCCCCTACTACCGCCTCTTCCCCTACCGCACTGCCCCGCTCCCCCCCCCCGCCTCTCTTCCTTGCACCAGGTGC